CAGTTCAGTGACACTGACTACGCTCTTCCAATTGTGCTGTTATTCTCACTTAAGATGAAGGCTTACAGAACAAAATAGTTTCTCATTTAACAGTTACTACAAAGGTTAAAGGTTTATATTTTAAAGAGGAAAAGTTAAATTCTCTAAGCATTTTCTAGCCTATGGTTAACAGTTTGGTATTACAGCGTAAGTGCATGGGGCTTTGAAATCAAGAAGAGTTGAACTTTAATCCCATTTCTGCCATGCCCTAGCTGCAGAATAACCCTGTGCAACTTTTCTGTGCCTGAGTTTACTCACCTGTAAAATGGGGATAACAACAACACCCAACTCACAGCACGGTTGGGTGAAATCAATATACAAAGAATATTTGGCATAGTGTCTGGCACACATCAAGCACACAACTCTAACCTTTTGGTTAGCAGCCAAACACTTAAACAGTGCACCACCAGGGCTTCAAGCATACAATAAGTATGAACTATTACATATTATTTTTATTACTAAGAATATTGTCAAACTTACTATAATTTAAAGGCCTGATTCAATATACAAACTCTCTTTAAAAACTGTCAGAAAGGTGGTTAGGCTGATCCCAATTTGTCTTATACTAACCAGCAGAAGAGGTGTCCTTTTCCGCAATCCACAGCAGGTGCTCTCAGCAACGGGAAGCTGAGTGTATCAGATCCAGATGTACCTGACCCTTGTTTTGTTAGTCTGACTGCTCTTTCACAGCCGGGAGTAGGACACCATTTAATGGCAGGATTATTTTCAACAAAGGCCTTTTAAAAATAACAGAAAATATTTTAACTCTAAATTCTGACATAGAGTGCACCTATGGTAACTTACGTTAAAGCAAAAAAGAATGAAATAAAAGAGTTGTCAGTCTCAAGAAATATTTAAAACAGTACTTAAATGTACGAAAACCTTAGTAAGATGGAAAAAAAGGCAATTATCTCAGTAACAACATGATTTTTAAAATTTATGTTTTCTTTAATCTAAAAACCAGGTAGATGATAAAAAAGTAAAAATGCCAATTATTCACAGAGGATATGTAATTAAAAAATGTCTTCTTATACAATGTGCCACTTTTCTGATAGAATATAATTATTAATAGGATCTTATGTGATTATTAGATACATTAGCATAGTAAATTTCAAAATGGCACCCTAATAATACATAAATATCAATATTATGGTACTTTCTATATTAAAGAAACAATAGAACTTTTTTTTTTAAGTTAATATATTAGAGTTTAGACTAGGAAAATCTGTAAAAGACAGTTAAAATGTAGCTTTTAAATTCCAAAAAAAAGAAAATAATTTGCATATACTTTCTGAATAACTCCTGAATGAAAATAAAGAAGATAGAAAAAAGGATGAAATAAACATTCTAATTCATTATAAGAAACTACTACTAGGAAAAAAAAAGATCATAAATTGTTGAGTTGATAATCTTTATTTCGAAATACTTATACTTAGGAATATAAAATATAATGTCTTTTGGTAAATTTGAACATTATCTTGATTAATCAGATATAAAAGTACAATAGGCAAATCGATTTTTGTTCTGAGCAATAATTTTATTAGTTAACTAATAAATAACTACTTTACTAGTTAACTACCTTAGCCTTTCCCTTTCCTTCTACTATATAAAATAATGCTTTAGCTTAAAACTTTAATGCCACCATTCCTTTATTCAATTTTTTTTGAGAGACAAAACTCAGAGATCATTATTTTACGTTTTCAAAAATAAAACAAAAAAATACATAAAATCTGCTTTATAGGTTTAATAAAATTACAATTAAGAAATCAGACAGATAATTGTCTGTACCTTAATATCAAACTGTAGGTATCGTTTATCCATCTCTTTAGAAACTACACTTTCTATGATATCCACAGGCACAAGTTGGAAGCAATCATATGCGGGGCAGAAAATGTTGTGAGCTTCACCTTCCTGAATTTTCAGATTCAAAAACCTATTAAAATTATCAATTGACAGAAAAACAGTAAGGATAAAATTTATTTTCACATTCTAAGAAGCTTTTCTTTATAATGAATTTTATGTTAGAGTGTAATTAAAATAATACCAATGAATATCACAAACATAACTAAACACTTACTACCTGCCTAGAAATTCATTATATATATATACACACACGTATATACCAAAACCTAACCAAACCCACTGCCATCGAGACGACTCTGACTCAGAGCGACCTATAGGACAGAGTGAAACTGCCCCATAGGGTTTCCAAGGCCACAAATCTTTACAGAAGCAGACTGCCACTTCTTTCTCCTGTATATATAGACTATATCTATCTGTATATATACACATATATAAAAGGTCCTGTTTTGCTGTATCCTTTCTAAAAATGTGAAACTATTTATTTTTAACATTAAAAATTCAGAAAATAGTAACTTAGAAAGGTCACATTCAATTCTCATTGTTCTACAGCTTTAAATAAAAAGGAGCAATTGTTAGGTGCTGTCAAGTCAGTTCTGATTCATAGAAACCCTATGTACAACAGAATGAAACACTGTCTAGTCCTGTGCCATCCTGACAATCATTGTATTTCAGCCCACTGTTGTAGCCACCGTGTCAATTCATCTTGTCAAGGGTATTCCTCTTTTTTGCTGACCCTCTACTTTACCAAGCATGATGTCCTTCTCCAGGGACTGGTCCCTTCTGGTAACATGTCCAAAATACGTGAGACGAAGTCTTGCCATCCTCGCTTCTAAGGAGCATTCTGGCTGTACTTCTTCCAAGACAGATTTGTTTGTTCTTCTGGCAGTCCACGGTATATTCAATATTCTTCGCCAATACCATAATTCAAAGGCATCAATTCTTCTTCAATCTTCCTTATTTATTGTACAGCTTTCACATGCATATGAGGTGACTGAAAATATCAAAGCTTGGGTCAGGAGCATGTTAGTCCTCAAAGTGACATCTTTGCTTTTTAACACTTTAAAGAGGTCTTTTGCAGCAGATTTACCCAATACAATAAGTCATTTTACTTCCTGACTGCTGCTTCCATGGGTGTTGAGTGTGGATCCAATTAAAATGAAATCCTTGACAACTTCAATATTTTCTCCATTTATCATGATGTTGCTTATTGGTCCAGTTGTGAGGATTTTTGTTATCTTTATGTTGAGGTGTAATCCATACTGAAGGCTGTAGTCTTTGACATCCATCGGTAAGTGCTTCAAGTCCTCTTCACTTTCAGCAAACAAGGTTGTATCTATTATCTGCATAAAGCACAGGTTATTAATGAGTCTTCGACCAATCGTGATGCACATTCTTCTTCATATAGTCCAGCTTCTCGGATTATCTGCTCAGCATACAGACTGAATAAGTATGGTGAAAGGATACAACCCTGATGCACATCTTTCATGATTTTAAACTGTGCAGTATCCCTTTGCTCTGTTCAAACACCTGCCTCTTGGTCTATGTACAGGTTCCTCAGGAGCACAATTAAGTGTTCTAGATTCCCATTTTTTGCAATGTTATCCATAATTTGTTATGAACCACATAGTCGAATGCCTTTGCATATTCAATAAAATACAGGTAAACATCTTTCTGGTATTATCTGTTTTCAGCCAAGATCCATCTGACATCAGCAATGATATCTCTTGTTCCACGTCCTCTTCTGAATCCAGCATGAATTTCTGGCAGTTCCCTGTCGATGTACTGCTGCAAGCATTTCTGAATGATCTTTAGCAAAATTTTTTTTTGTGTGTGATATTAATTATATTGTTCAATGATTTCCATGTTTTGTTGGATCACCTTTCTTTGGAATGGGCACAAATATGGATCTCTTCCAGTCGGCTGGCCAGACAGCTGTCTTTCAAATTTCTTGGCATAGATGAATGAGCACCTCCAGCACTGCACTTGTTTGTAGAAACATCTCAATTGGTATTCTGTCAATTCCTAGAGCGCTGTTTTTTGCCAATGCCTCCAGTGTAGCTTGGACTTCTTCCTTTAGTACCATTGGTTCTTGATCATATGCTACCTCCTGAAATGGCTGAATGCTGACCAACTGTTTTTCACATAGTGACTGTGTATTCCTTCCATCTGCTTGTGATGCTTCCTGCATCATTAAATATTTTACCATAGAATCCTTCAAAATTGCAACTCGAGGCTTAAATTTTTTCTTCAGTTCTTTCAGCTTGAGAAATGTCAAGTGTGTTCTACCTTTCTGGTTTTCTAACTCCAGGTCTTTGCACAAGTCATTGTAATATTTTACTTTTTCTTCTCAAGCTGCCCTTTGAAATCTTCTGTTCAGCTCTTTTACTTCATCACCTCTTCATTTGCTTTAGCAAATGTTCAAGAGCAAGTTTCAGAGTCTCTTCTGACATCCATTTTGCTCTTTTCTTTCTTTCCTGTGTAATGACCTTTTCCTTTCTTTATGTATGATGTCCTTGATGTCATTCCACAACTTTTCTGGTCTTCAGTCATTAGTGTTCAATGCATCAAATCTATTTTTGAGATGGTCTCCAAATTCAGGTGGGATATACTCAAGGTCATATTTTGGCTCTTGTGGACTTGTTTTAATTTTCTTCAGCTTCGACTTGAACTTGCATATATGAGCAATTGATGGTCTGTTCTGCGGTTAGCCCTTGGCCTTGTTCTGACAGATGATACTGAGCTTTTCCATCGTCTCTTTCCACAGATTTAGTTGGTTTTATTCTTGTGTACTCCATCTAGTGAGGGCCACGTGTACAGTCGCTGTTTATGTTGTTGAAAAAAGGTACTTGCAATGAATAAGTCATTGGTCTTGCAAAATTCTATCATGCAATCTCCAGTGTCATTTCTATCACCAAAGCCATACTTTCCAGCTACCTATCGTTCTTCTTTGTTTCCAACTTTTGCATTACAATCATCAGTAATTATCAACGCATCTTGATTGCATGTTTGATCAATTTCAGGCTGCAGAAGTTAGTAAAAATTGTCAATTTTCTCATCTTTGGCATTAGTGGTCGGTGCGTAAATTTGAATAATAGTCATGTTAACTATTATTAATACAATTTCCCTGAAGGCATATGGCTATTATCCAGGATAGATCTTGAAATGTTCTTTTTGACGATGAATGCAACACCATTCCTCTTCAATTTGTCATTCCCTGCACAGCAGACCATATGACTGATTCAAAATGGCCCACAGCAGTCCATTTCAGCTCAGTAACGCCTAGGGTATCAATCTTGATGCGTTCCATTTCATTTTTGATGACTTCCAATTTTCCTAGAATTTTTATATATTCCACTTTCTGATTATTAATGGATGTCAGCAGATGTTTCTTCTCATCTTCAGTCAGGCCACATCAGCAAATGAAGGTCCCGAAAACTTGACTACATCCATGTCATTAAGGTCGACTCTCTCTACTTCAAGGAGGCAGCTCTTCCCCAGTTGTATTTTGAGTGCCTTCCAATCTGAGGGGCTCATCTTCCAGCACTAGATCAGACAATGTTCCACAGCTATTTATAAGGTTTTCACTGGCCAATTTTTTTCAGAGTAGACTGCCAGGTCCTTCTTCCTAGTCTATCTTAGTCTGGAAACTCTGCTGAAACCTGTCCACCAAGGGTGACGCTGCTGGTATTTGAAATACCGGCGGCAAAGTTTCCAGTATCACGGCAACATGCAAACCACCACAGTATGACAAACTGACAGACCCGTGGTGGGTACAGAAATTAACCATAGCTAATTCAAGAGAGTCTGATGTGGCAGTGGAATACGGCATACCTTTTTCAATTCTCCTTATATTTCATTGAAGAATATTAAAATGAGTTTTATTTACTATCTAGGCACACTAGAAAGAAAAGGGCATCCTGGAAAGTGGCAGGAATCTAGCCCAAGGTGAATTAAATGGTTAAGAGCAGGACTTTGAGTTAGAGAATTCCAAGTCTGTCAACAATAAGGTATGTGATCTTAAGCAATTTATTTGACCTTTCTGAGCCTCAGTTTTGTGATCTGTAAAACGGAGATAATAGCATACAATTCACAGGATTGTTGTATAGATTAAATGATATACAAAAACCAAACCAAAGCCACTGTCACTGAGTCATTTCCGACTCATGGTGACCCTACAGGACAGAGTAGAACTGTCCTATAGGGTTTCCACGGCTGTAAATCTATGGAAGCTGACTGCCACATCTTTCTCCCGCAGAGTAGCTGGTGGGTTCAAACTGCAGACCTTTTGGTTAGCAACTGAGCACTTATAATCACTGCTCTACCAGGTCTCCTAAGTGATAATGTATGTGAAATATCTGCATGGTGCCTATAGGACAATGTAGAACTGCCCAATAGGGTTTCTAAGGACTGGCTGGTGGATTTGAACTGCTGACCTTGTGGTTAGCAGCCGCTGGTCTTAACAACTGCACCACCAGGGCTCTGACATAGAATAAGAATTCATAAATCTGAGCAAAGATTATTATTATTTATGTAATACTGCTATAAAAATGACATGGTGCAGGTGTCTGACCTCCTCTAACTTCACAAGGGGGAAATAGATCAAGATCAACAGCCCAAGGCTGCTTCCTATGAGGTGGAGGTCAGACATACCTCCTTCTTGCCAGCCCTTTTTACCAATTCTTACAACATCTGTACCTCCCACAGGTACACTCTACTTCTCTGCTGAGTTCGATAATTCATTGCAATGGCCATAGAGAACTCACAGATAATACTCGTGATTATGGGGTTTATTAGGGAACTAACAGGTTATAATTCAGGTTCAGGAATGCTCGGGATACAGTTTTTCCATCAGGACAGTCCGTTCTCAGCCATGCCCACAGGCAGGTATCTCCCTGGCCCTTGGCCTCTTGGTCCCTCAGCCTGGCCTCTGCCCTGCTTGGGCAAGTGTTACAAAGCTCTTTCTGCCAGTAAGCCTTGGCCTGCAGGTGCTCAGCTCTAGTTCCGTGGGTTGGCAAACCCAGCTCCACCAAGTGTCTGGAGGCACCCTCCTCCAACAGCAAGCCTCCTGCC